AGCTATTTTAGAGCCGAGCTGACCACCGACATATCCTAACAAGTCCATTTGACACAGCCTAGTCGTTCATATCACCTCAATATGGCTAACTAATCTGCATGGAACGGTGTGCCTAAAGTGGGATAAGCAGTCTGTAAATGTTTTACAAATTACACGGTCTAGATTTACACTTATCATAGCTGAGTAGTTTTTCAACTGCCCAACCATGCTGTCAACAGGTATGCGCATGATACTTTAGTGTCAGAGATCAAATCCCGTGATTTTGGATAAGTAGTTTCTATTGGAAACACCGTTGACAATATACTTTGGCAGTTGAAAAACTAATCATCTGTGGGAAATGTCAACGTGAACTATGCATTTTGTGAATAGCTTGTAAACTGCATATGTTACCAATAACTTGTTTCTAAAACAATAATTTCTTTCGTACATTGAATATTCTCATTTAGACATTTAGAAATAAGACTTGTTGGGCGAAGAAATATATTGATTTTCAATTAGGTCTTTGTCTTGGGCTCTACACTGACATGGCTTTACAGTTCAATCAGTCCTGCACCCCTCCAATACAAAAGGAACCTGACAAAATGACTAGCACACCACACCACAGCTATCTGCTCAGTTGATGCTATGAAGGAAGAGTTCGCCAACATCCATGACCTCCTGAGTACGAATGGCTATATAGCGAAGTTCGTGACTAGGCTCATCAATATTACGAAGGTTAAGTCAAATACACCAACAGTTCCTAAATAGTAAATCCTCTTGAAGCTGAAATTCAAGAGTGACATTGCCAGTGACATCATCACACAACGCATACAAACAGCCTTGCAAAGAGCATTCATTCCCAGCAGCTAAATTATATCCCAACTTCTACAACCACGTGATTCTAGGTGCAAGAAGTAAAGAAATACATCTGTCTGACTCTACCAACTCCATGTACATTTAGCAGTTCAACAGCTTCTGTGGAGCTAGCTCCATCGGGTGTACAATGAGGCAGGTCCATCGTCGAATTTATGAGCACCACTCATCACGGTTGAGCAGAGGACAAATCAGAATAATAAAGAGCTCCATACTTGCACACCTAGTTGACACTGGACATCATGTGGATACTAGAAAACCTTTGGGAATTATTCATCACATACCAGTATGTTGCCACATGAACTAAACATTCGCTTGCTTCACAGAGCAGAGCAGAGCAGAGGCGATTGCAACCCACCTTTACAAACCTAACCTTTGTATTCAAAAGAAGTTTGTTGGATCACTTTCATTGTCGTGGCCGTCAACATGGTGTAACTTCTAATACTACTCTGCACACCTCTTCACCCTCTAGTTTCTATCATTATTCATTTGTTTTCTTACAGTTATGTAATCACTTATTGTTTATGACTGAACACTCATCAAATGTCACTCCATTCGCGTAAGAATAAGCTACTTCATATTTCCATTTTCAATTACTCTACTGATTATTTACATCTTAATTTCTAAAACATTATCTTCATGATCTATAATTATTGTTTGCCAACCGTCGACCATCACTTGGTTGAATTGTGAATGTGTATATTAGTGTATAGCCCAAAAAGAAGACCTAATTGAAAAGGAATATGATTTCTTCGTTCGATCAGTCTTCTTTCTAAATAATTTCTTTGATGAAAATTCACAGAAATGCGTTTAGTTCAGAAAATATTGGTCATTCGAATGGATTTCTGTATCTGAAGGTAGCCGTATGCTCATTTCTGTCCTCGTATACATGAATGTACATTGATTCAATCAATAACTGACAGTTATTTAATAAAATCATATCAATCATTGTACTGGTAAAATAATCGTAATGAGAGTAATTCAATTATTTTTACAGACAATCAGTAATTTTAATTCACAAGTAAAAAAACAACATTACAACGTTTTAAAGCAATACACAAACAGTTAGGCGGTGTTGAAAACGGATTTCTACCGACAGAATGTTTAGAAACTGGAAATACCAAAACATTGTTGATGATTTGTGATATTCCTTAGTAATTTATCATGATGAAGACTCATTTTAAGTGAATTAAACAGAAGTTACAAAACTTTTTCTATTTCTTTTTTCTAATTCTAATAGGAGAAGGATTTAGCACTTTGCTAGAGATAAGTTTTAGGTTTCTAGTGAATAATGAATGTCATATCCTATGTAGATAAAAGTCCAACGTTCACAAACCAATCGTACCTTTCAGGAGGCAAATTCTTCTCGTTAGTTGAGTAAAAGCAGTCGTTTTTCTAATCCCATCTCTTAACTTCGACAGTAATCTTTATTAATAATAGTAATTAAAAGGCTTGAGGTTTGTAACGAGGTTTGAACTGTTTTGTGTGGTAGAGAATGCCTAACGCTATTGGAATTGATCTCGGTACAACGTATTTGTGTGTCAGTGTATTCCAGCATGGTAAGGTGGAGATCATCGCCAATGATCAGGGGGACCGGACAACGCCAAGTTATGTAGCATTCACAGATACTGAGCGTCTGATTGGTGATGCAGCAAAGAACCAGGTGTTGGTCAGCCCTTTAAACACAGTGTTCGATGCGGAGCGGCTGATTGGTCGCCGATTCGATGACCGGTCGTTGCAGAGTGATATGAAACACTGGCCGTTTGAGGTTGTTCATGACGGTGATAAGCCTAAGATTCATGTAGAGCACAAGGGTGTACGCAAGATATTTTCCCCAGAGGAGATTTCGTCAATCATGTTGAGGAGGATGAAGGAGGTTGCTGAAGCATACCTGGGTAAGACAGTGACTGATGAAGTGGTGATGGTTTCTGTCTACTTCAATGATAGCCAGCGTCAAGCTACGAAGGATGCCGGTACAATAGCTGGTTTGAATGTGTTGCGAATTATTAATGAGCCTACGGTGGCTACGATAGCGTATGGTTTGGACAAGAATGTTGGTGGCTGGCGGCATGTGTTGATATTCTATTTGGGTGGTGGTACGTTCGACGTGTTTATCTTGACGATTGAGCAAGGTATATTTGAGGTGAAGTCCACTGCTGGTGACACACACTTGGGAGGTGAGGACTTTGACAATCGAATGGTGGATCACTTTGTACAAGAGTTCAAGAGTAAGCACAAGAAAGATATCAACGGCAATAAGCGTACATTGCGTCGTTTGAGGACGGCATGTGAGCGTGCGAAGCGCACACTGAGTTCACTATGTCAAGATTAAAATGAAAAGTCGTTTTGAAATTATGTTCTTTCTCCGATTCACGTGTAACATGTCGGTCCTTAAGACTACTACTGGATCCTATTCACAGAAAAAGTTTTGCATTCACTTTTTCATCGTAGAATTTAAAATACCAAGGGGTAAATGTTTGTTTACCTTCGAAGCTTTGTACCAATTCAGTTGTTGCTATCTTTAAATGTAGGTCGCAAAACAACTGTTTACTACTTTCTAAACTAAATAAGTAGTTTGTATTTTAAACACGGAAATTCTTTTGCAGGCTTGTAACAGCTGCAAGTTAAACAGTAGAATAGGAAGATTTAAAACTAAATTTTTTCAACCCACGCTTAAAGATTATAAAAGAAAGTGGTGAGAACCTGGCTGCTGTTTAGCTTCATAGTCGAAGCACGTGCAAGCAAAGTGACTAATGATATGCATACACTGAAATATGTCCAAAATATTACATTTTTGAGGTATAACTTTTATTATAGGTGATTAAATAATTGTTTACATCACACAAATACCTTCATTAGAAATATTATTTAAAGAGAATTCAGCGTGTTTCCTGTCGTTTCAACGCAGAATTGCTGAATTCTGACCAAATCAAATTATCTGTATGAAATAATGGTGTGGAAATGTTTTGTGCATTTCATTTCACTCTATGAGTAAAATTCTCAAGTTATGGAATAAGAAGCAATCAGTGAAAACAATCCGATCTATGTGAGTCATTATTTTAGTTCCCATATTACTGAAAGGAATTTAGTTATGCTATGTGAATAGCATAATTTGAAGGCAGTAAATGGAAAAGGTAAGAGAGATGACTATGAGGAAATATGGTTGCACATACTATCAACTTTGAAGCTGAACACAAAAATAGGTCATACATATTCGACAATGTATGATTTTGACTTGATTCAAGCAGTTTTGTTTGTCAAGAATTTGAAAGTGAGTTACGCTATCAGACTGCACTTGTTAATTGGTCTTATATTACTAGTCAGCAGATCTAACCAAGTGATCTTAGAGAAGATAATTTTAATACATTTTCTTAAATTTTTTTGAGGGGGTTGTGGAGATTTGGAAATATTTCAAGTTGTTATTCATCGAAGACTGACATCAGTTGGAGAAACAAAGGAAACCTGGGAGCACTGGACAGCTGTTTCGTCCTAGTATGGGACTCCTCAGCAGTGCGCACCCACGACCCCAACATACTAGGACGAAACAGCTGTCCGGTGCTCCCAGGTTTCTTTTGTTCCTCCAACTGATGTCAGTATTCGATGAATAACAACTTGAAACATTTTCTTAACCTATTTTTTCCCCCTATATGAGTGACATTCTGTCGTTATTATTATTCAAACTATCTTAGTTTATTTCATCTACCTCTCATAAACACACACCTTCTTATTGTTTTATTAAACTTCCACCTTATACCACTACGTATGCAGTCTAATGGTTGAGATAATCAATTATTGTGAGTTGGATTCCGGTAATAAATGATTCTATCATTAAGGTCACACAAGACTTCCTCAACTGTATAATGTTATTAAAAAACTGATAATCGGAATCTCAATAGTGTTGACGCAGAATTCCTCAATACGAACATATAATTGTAGAACTTGAAGAAGAAGTTATCGAAAAGAATATTCTTTGTTCACTCAAATGGTTTCTAAAAAAGGTTGTTAATCACAATAAGCTAGCTTTGTTGTAATCATGATCTTTAAAATGGATTAAGACTTGTGCAGATTTAGTTGGATGGTAGATAGTCCAACAATTTTTACGATCTGTAATTGTAAATAATAAATATCAAGAAAAAAAATCAGCTCACCTAAATAAGTAGGGTTGTTTTCGTATGTGTTCATTTAAAGGTAAACCAATTAAATGTGAATTATCCAGCGTTAAACTCATCCAGTTCGAATCATCTAGAATAAGTCCATCTACGTAATATTTCAAAGAATAATTTCAAAAAAGTAAGGAGAATGAGATTTAACAAACACGAAAAAACAAGAACATAAAACATTATTGTTCATTTAATTAAAGAAAGATTATTCATTTTTATAGTTGACTTAATCCTGTCCACCCAGTGGAATGCGAAACTCTCGTTTCGTCCTATTTGGGACTTGTCAGATATAAAATATCAAGCAATATCGAGTTATTTTCAAGTTGGTATTCATCTTAGACTCAAATCCATCGGAGGAACACTGGGAAGCTGTGAACAATGAACAGCCGTTTCCTCCTAGTATAGGATTCCTCAGCAGTGGACACATACGAACCCGCCCTCCAGGGCTTCAACCCAAGACCTTCAGGTTCCATGGCTATCATGTTACCTCTGAGCCAGTCACTGTGTCAGAATCCATTGGTTTCCGACCTAGTGGCTGAATAGTAACATGCTGGCCATAGAACCTGAAGGTCGTGGGTTCGACCCCTGACGCGGTGGAGTGATGAGCGCGCATACCCCATACTAGTGGGGAGAAACACCTGTCCAGTGCTCCCAGGTTCCCAATCTTTCTCCAACTGATGTCGATTTACGATGAATACTAACCTGAAAAGTCTTTAAATCCCCACTGACCCCCCAAATTCAATGTCGAGTTATCTGCATAGGAGACCATATGCCGACAGAGGTCGAACACTTCGATTCACTGTAACGACAGAGGATTACAAGCATTTCAGCAGACATTAATAACTAATACCTGTTGTAGAAGAGGTGGCTGTCGTAGCTCAGTAGCCTAGTGGATAGCGCTTTGGCGTTTGAAGTGGTGGGTACTAGGTTCCAATCTCAGTAAAAACAGCATCACTCACTAAGGGGCAAGTACATTCGGCTGACGAGTCTTAAGTAGGACAAAACGTTTTGCATCCTAGATTCTCCTGCTAGTCACAAACAAGTCAGCCATAACAATATATACCAAAGTAATATCAAGGCATCCTCATAGTAGCTCATATGGCAACAGGAGTTGATCATTTCACTTCAGTAAAACAACGGAGAATTACACTACACTAACAAGTAATAAAACCCTTTATGTTTTCACACTGTTTCAGTCTTTTTGTGAAGATATGCTCAGTATTAAAAGTAGATTAAAGAAGAAATCAGTTTCAATTTATCTTTGATAATATTGTTGAGTTGATTTTCAACTATAACTTACCTACAAATATGCCATTCTAAATTCTATTATCTGTTATCAGTTTGAGTGTTCAAGGTGTGATTACTTTTTTTCGTCATACCGAAGTTATTTCAATATGAAGAGTTACGTAATGAAATGCAAAAGGAAAGTCATATTTTGAGCCTGCAATACTAGAATTAATACACTTACAACTGAACGTAGGATGAAATGATCCATTTTGCAATTGATCTACAAACTTTATGGTCCAGGTTGACATTTCTGACAACTGAGTGGTTATATAACTATCCAATTATGCTGTCAACAGGGTGTTTAGATTAATGTGATCTGGCTGACTGGCGACATACTAAAAATCAGTCTGAGTGGTCTCTAACTACTCAAGTTGTTCAGTAGTTGTATTTTACAACGGAACATCTTTAAATAGCTCAATGTGTCGTTTGAAATTTGCACTTAAGCTGCAATGACCAGTATGTATCATCTATAACTTGAGAAGATAGCGGAAATGTCAAAATATCTTATGATGCCTGAATACTTTTGAGAGGAATAAAGGCAATAATGCTGGATAAACTTCTCGTTTGATGAAGTGCATCGTTACATTCAAGGGGGAAACCAACTAATAATAACAGAAAAGTTTTTTATTTCGTTGCTAGTCAATGTTTTATCGGAAGGATCTTCATGACAGCCTAGTGCTTCGAATGGGTCAGGTTATTTTCTGGAATTCGGCTGGCATGACTGTTCACATTAAAATTACTGCTATTCATTGGAATATTGTAAACTGAAAAGTTCGACTTATCGTCACCTAGTGCTATTCTGTTTTCTAAGACATTGGAATTTCAGAAGTTTCTTTCAAATTGTTTGAATAGAACTTTACAAAGATATATTCCTACTCAGTCCTGAATATCAACTAATTTTGTAGGATTTGTAAAAACTTTCCTTGACAAACTGATTGTGAAAAGCAGCATGATGTTAGGGAACGGATTACTTTCTACCGAGAGAGAGAAACAACAAAATTTCTAGTGTCTTGTAGGTCATATTGAAGTAGGAATAAATTCAGACAAACAATTCACATAAATGTACTTTTAAGTTTATGGAGATTTTATTTATAAGATAATATTCATCACCAACATTGATATTACCTGAAGAACTATTGAAAACCTATGAGAAATGGACAGCTATTTCATCCTTGTATGGAACTGGTTAACAGTAAGCATCCTCGATCAAGTAACTAAAAGGTTAACGCATAACAAGACGAAACAGCTGTCTAGTACTCCCAGATTTTCAAAGATTCCTTAACTGAGATCAGTCAATGATGAATAGTTTCTTAAAAATTTATATAAATATACATGATGTCAGTCATCTGATTCAATAATCTTGACGAAACTACTTTCGGTGTAGATAAGTTTGAGTAACTTATTAAGAAAGGATTAATCAAAGTACGTTAATATTTTTCAAAGCTTCACTTATCTAATTGGCTATTTTATATCCAGTCAGTCAATGAAGGATCTAATCGTTATGATAACGCAACATTACTTTTCATCGACTTTTATTTGTGAACAGTTTTATATAAGACTTATGGTAAATTAAATTCAACAGTGAATATCTGGAGATAAATCGTCATAACAGGAAACTAGTACGATTTGTAAATACTTGGGTTATACAGGCAGTCATCGCTGGTTCGAATTCGGCCGCGGTCCAGATTTTCATCTCATCTTCAATGATCACTTACTTAATTATTTGAACATTTAAATAAGTTTTTATTTTCCAATATTCAGTAATATGTGTCTAGCTTTTTGTCACCGAAAATATACCAGTGAGTCATATCACGTAGAAAATTTGTGAAATGACTGAACTTGATAGTGAAGCTAGAATCCCGTGAAGTTAAGCTTGTAGGTGAAAAACAAATATTAAAGTAGTTTTCGTCTCATCAAAGGTTTTCTTAATCTGTCCCGATAATCTTCACTTCATCCTTTCTAATTCACAGAAATGTTTAAAGGCTTTTGAAAAACATATGGTCATAATATTAGTAATGGGTAGTGGCTGTCAGTGAAATTCAGGAAGCAAAGCGTTTCTTCCTATTCGAGGCTCGTCAGCTGGAAGAACCTACTTCCCACTGGGTGATGTTGTCCCCACGAGGACTCAAAACCAAGACCGATAGCTTCAAAGGCCAGTGAACCATTGCCCTATTGGATATAATCTTGACTTTTAAAGTCATTAGTTCTGGGCTCGAGCCCTGGTGGGGACGATCTTACCCCCCTGGGAGGCAGGGAAATCCAGCTGACGGGTTTCAAGTAGCAATCAACGTGCTTCCTGGGTTGCGCTGCTAGCCTGTGTCCAACACTAATACCGGCACTGTGAAGGCTTCTACACAGGGGGTCTATATGCTAATAGTGGCTAATGAATTCCGTCCAATAAGCAATGAAGATGCACAAGCCATAACAACGAAGACTATGGTCATAATGTTGGTAGCTTTCTCTTGGAAAAGACAGCTGTGAAATTAGCTAAACTCAGAGAAATGATGAAATTTATTTACAAAAGTCATTCTACAACAGTGTATATCCTATTTAATGTCTTTTTTGCTCTGAACAAACGTCATTAGATACGCAGCTGAGCAAATGGAAACTTCTTATATGATTTGTGAATAAAACTATCACATACGCGTTTTGTACAAAACAACATTTGAAAATATATATTATTGTTAGGGTGACATTATTATTATTTTTCCCGTGGGTTTCTAGTGGAAGATAGGGCTTCACTAGCACGCCTCCATTCCACTCTCTTCTCTGCAGTCTTTTGAACCTCTCTCAACGACTGTCCACAAGCTCTCATTTCTTCCTCACACCATCTCCTCCATGTCACGCCCGCCTCAGACGCCCAACTCCTCATTTCCCCTGTGGATTCCACTCGGCGGCCCAGTCTGGCCTGACGAGTGATGTCCTCGAATGGTCTTCTCAGTGTATGCCCAATCAATCTCCACTTTCTTGCGCATATTTGTCGGGCGATAGGTTGTTGGTTGACTCGTTGCCAGAGTGAGTTCCTAATTGCTTATTCTTATTATTCTGGTTGTCTGATCTTCAGTATTGAGTGAGCGTAGGTGGCAGTTGTTGATGAATGTCTGTAGTTTGTTGGAAATGCTTTTCGTAACGCTCCAGGTTTCTGAACCATATAGAAGCACTGACGACACTGGTGTTGAGAATTCGGATTTTGCTCATACTTTATGCTGAGTGCAGCACAGTAGATCTCTCCACTGATTTCAGATTAGTGAAAGCCTGTGTTGCTATCTTTTCGATTCTGGTTTTGACATCCTTGTCTGTACCGCCACCGCCTCCTATAGTTGAAACGATGCTGCTTAGGAAGGTGGGTAGGTGAAAGAGACAACTTCCTTTAGGTTTCTCCCGTTCACGGTGACTGGTGCTTGTTTTTGATGCTGTTGTTGGTCGGCTATCTTCATCACCTCCGTCTTCTCTACGTTAGGGTGACATGGATTGTTTTAAATTAAGCTTCAAATTATACACTTATATATGTGCTGAACAACATTTATTTCTGTTTTATTTAAACAAATGAAAATTGTCAAAAATCTAAGAATTTGATAAATCAAAGGTTGTTGATGAAGTGTGTTCCACTTAAATATTTTGAGAGACGTTTCCCGAGAATGTCTGCAGCAATATTATTTCTTTAAATCTTGAATTCAAAAATGTTCTGTTTGAGGATTTTGACAGACATCTTCAGGAAACGTCTCTCAAAAAGCTTAAGTGGAACATACTTCACCAACAACCTTCGAATTATTTTCTCCTACAACAAACACTTTGGTCAATGTGTCAATG